CTGTTTTTATATGCATGCCAATTAACTTTTTTTTTTTTTTTTTTGTAAAGATAAGACCAGTCCATTTGATCTTGGCTCCATTTTAAGAATTAATTTTAATGTAGAATAGTTAATAAAATGTGAATTTTGTAGCATTTTATTTACTTATTTATCCATGCATTCCTTCATTTGTTAATTTTGAACTTCTGTATAAAATAAGTACATTTGAGCAGTTACTTTTAGGTCTCATTTTGCATTATTTATTTTGATCTTTTCAGACAGACAAGTGCTGTTACACTAGTTGAACATCGAGTGTTTTCCTTTTCAGACACACAATGGATCATAATAAAAATCACACTGAACTCACCACATGAAAGCACAACAATCAGCCTCACACAACACAAACACAAAGACATCTGACTGAGTCAGAGCAGCTTTCCGCACACACACACACTCATTAGTCCCGCCAAACCATGTCTCCCATCACACACATTTGTCTGGTTTCCAAAAGAGGGACAAAAGCCAAAGTGCTGGAGCCATCGCTAGACTCAGCAGAAACAGCTACGGGAACAAGATGCTAGGACCATCAAAATCAGCTCAGTCTTTTACAGGAACAAAATAAAACCGCAGAAAAAATGCAATGAGGGAGTTTTATATCAGGACCGTACAACAGAATGTCCTTGGCCTCCATACTGAAGAGGATCTCCAAGACCTTCTGAGATAAAGCCGGAGACACTGTGACATCTCAAGGATCTGAAGTACACAACTGTGTGGAGCGCTGGCATGGTGGCAAGGTCACTGCTGGTGAAACGGTTAAAGGAGCCAAATCATGAGAAACAGGGTTTTGTATCACAAGGAAAAAGATGCTATGTATCATTTATATATACGAAGCTAAGAAATATGAGAAATATATAAGCAGCAAAAATGACTAATTCAGAAACAGTGACCACACTAATGAGCATATGACCATCCTACATTTACATATTAACAACTATGCAGTATTGAGCAATTTCATCCACCATAATGAACGTCAATGTATACTATGTCATTGAAAGGTTAGCCATTTACACTAGGATGTTTTTTTAATCACATTGTATGCCATTGACCTATTTGTGTACAAGTGCTCTTAAAAAATATAAGCAAAATTTCTGCCAATTTCACAACAGGTCTGTACACACAAATTCTTCCCCCCCATTCTTTATTAGTTGCATTTAGCCATTTTTAATAAATACTACTCTGAATACAATAAATAAATAAACAGTCAAAATTAAAAGGATCTTGCTTCCATAAATTGCAAGAAACCTGTAGTGCTAAATGTGTTTTTAGAGTAGTAACAGTGTACAAGTTTACATATTAAGGTTTTAGGACAGTTTTTTTAATCAACAAGGATGCAATGCATTGATCTAAAGTGGCAGTAAAGACATTCATAATGTTCAAAATAAAATTTAAAATAATGTTCAATAGATGCTGTTCTTTTGAACTTTATATTCAACATATCCTGAAAAATGTATCAGTTTGCACAAAGACAAAGCTTCACAAATGTTTGCAGCATTGATAATAATAATAATAATAATAATAATAATAAGTGTTTCTTGAGCATCAAATCAGCATATTAGAATGATTTCTGAAGGATCATGTGACACTGAAGACTGGAGTAATGATGCTGAAAATTCAGCTTTGCATTACAGCAATAAATTGCATTTTTAAATATATTCATATAGTAAATAATAAGTAATAATATTTAAAATTATAAAAAAAATTTACTATATTTTTGATCATATTCAAAAATAGTCTTAGTGAGCATAAAAGACTTTCAAAAATATATATATAAAAAAAACGTATCAACAACACTTTACTATGTGCTGTATATATACACGTCTTAAAATACAGTACAGTGCAGATTTAAAGTAGCTTCATTAACGCCGATGAGAACTAGTTATCTTGCATGTACTGGTGAAAGCGACAGAACATAATACTGAGGACTTCTGCCAGTCTCAATTAACAGAAAGAGCAAGTCTGCCCCTGAAAAGAAAAAAGCACAGAGAGAGAGAACAAAAAAATTTCAAGCACATTGCTTGAAAATAGTTACCATTTTCCCTTGTCAAACAGACACTTCCATCAGCAAAGACTGCTCCTATCCTTCAGTCTGCTACTAGAAATCATCAAAAAGGCCTTTCACTATGATCACACTAGCATAGAAACTCTGATTCAGGTGAAGTCGCTGTGTCCCGGGAGTCATTTTAATAAGGTACTGGAACCAAAAGCAAGCTTTAACATGTCTGCTAGTAGCTACTTCATTAGGAAGGCATTGGTATTACTTTTTGAGAACTCACCAGGGCCATCTTAAAATGTAACTATTGAACTGTATTTCTCTGTATGTCAATGCTGATGTGCATATGAGACAAATAAGGCTAATGAAAGAGACCTAAACAAATTTTAGACAAATTTTTGACTCTTTTCAGGCCTGAGTTCATTTATGTGACAAAGTTGAGATAAATGTTCATCTTTTGAGTGGGCATACATCCTGACAGAGGGTTTAGTAACCATTATAACTTGACATAAACATCATATTTTAAGAGATTTGTTTGCGTCCTGTGTGTGTGAGCCACCTTAGAGCAACTCCTAAACCATAACCTTCAATTCCATCGTTTATCTACACCATAAGACCTTCAACATCAGCCGCAAACTACACCCTGAAGACCTCACAAAGGACGCTCACAATAAGAAAGCTCTCAGACCTTCGTGATGTTTATGAATTCTCATAAAGGAATGTTACATCTGTGCAGTGTCTGGAGTTTCCCTCAACTCCAATCAATCTTCTCCAACCTGCAGAACCTGGTGGAGCTTGCCACTGAACTCCAGGCTCAAGCTTAATCGTCAAGAGGAACGTTCGTGCAAACTAATTTTAGGCATTAATTTCGGTTTTACGCCAATTGGAACAACAAAGGTAAGAATCTGTGGGAAATCTGTAAAGACCAGTGCGATTCAAGGTAAAACCTTTAATTACTGGCTAGTCTGATGCAGGAGTGGAGCAGCCCTTCTAGTGGTTTCATCTTCCAGGAAAAG